TAAAATAGTCTCATCCAAAAAAATTAATCACTGTTAATCATGTTTGGATTTAAATGGGGTAGAGGATTTAAATTCTACGCTGGGACCTATTTTAAGCCACCAGTCCAGGCACCACTTAAATCAGTTGCCTGATCCAGGGGTTTCTAACATAAAGGCTGAGTAATGCTGTATATAAAAAGCTGGTGATATTTTTAAAGTGATTGAAGAGATGGGATGGGATGTTTATATCCCAGGGGGGGCTTGCTACAGGTTTCACTACACCCAGAGGTTTGCTGATGCTCAGAAGGGCACATGTAGACACCACACCAAAGATTATGACCTGCTGACAAATGTTTAAAGTGTCAGAAAAATGTCCCCAGATGTGGTGCTCTGGAAATCCTTTAGGGAATACAAACTCCACACTCCCAATATCAGTAAAATGTTTCTACCTGAATTCTGTAATCCTGATGGACTTGATGTCTGTAGTATTCAGGGCACAAAGATTAGCTCCTAATCCTGCTAAATGAAAGCTTTTCAACTCATAGACTGTCTGACTAGAGTCTTCCAGAAACCCTTGTAAAATAGATGTAGCCTGAAAAAGCAATGAGACATCATGCAAGGACAGCATGAAGGCATAAGATTCTGCTAGAGGAAAATGTTATCTATACCAGCTATTACAAACTGGCCTGGATGTTATTAAACTGGGCCTGAGCCTGCATCCCTTGAAGTCAGTGGGAGTTATACCGTTGCCTTCAGTAGGAGCAATGTCAGTGGAGATTACATGCTTAGTGCCTTCTGAGCAATGCTGAGTATTGCCTCCCAGGAGTGAGTTAAGCATACAGCACAACCTGAGAGCACTCAGACCTTTCCATCTTTGGGTTACAAACAAATTCTTCCACAGAGTGGATACTACTGAAGTAGTCACAAAACTGCCCATATTCAATTCAGCCAAAAAGAATGGTTAATGTTAAGTAGAGCTAACCCCCCTACCCCTGAAGAAAATCTGAAATCTGCTAAGCAATCAATATTAAGTTATTAAGGATCCTAAACACTAACTTATCCTGTTTAAGTCTCTTATATAGCTGTTAACCTATGCTCAAGTCAGTAAACGACTGCATTTCTTAAAACACAACAGGAAATCTCAAAAGTGAAGTAGCACTGTATATAAAAACACTCCAGTGCCTTCTGTTTCCTTCTTTTATTGGCTCTTCAGCCAAAGCATCTATAAAGAGGTTTGTGATATTCTGCCAGTACTAGATACTCGGCCTGTGCGAGTAGGCAGTTATTTGATCCGGCTTCAGATCTGGTTGCTTCGGATGGCAGTGATCCGATCCGGAGCTCCAGACTGGGTTACCGCTTTGATCCGACCGAAGCAGCTCTGAAGCTTCGGAGACACCTCGGAGATCCGGCCATAGGGTATACCAGGGAATCAATGAAATATCTATAGCTTTGTTGTTTTGTGTCTGATTTAAATGAAACTTGTAGGGATGGTAGCCTCTGCTGAGAGCATGAAGCCTGCCAAGTTTCAAGAAGATTGGTGCAGGGGTTTGGGGGGAACTGTACCCCAAATTCTTGAAAGTAACACTCACGTCACGTGTATGTATTATACCACAGGGGGGTGAAAACTGCAGGGTTGGTAGCCCCTGGTGAGGCCATGAAGCCTGCTATGTTTCAAGAAGACTGGTGCAGGGGTTTGGGAGGAACTGCACCTCAAGCTGCAGACAGGCAAAACTCATGACATGGGTGACACTGTGTGTGTTAAGGTGCACCAGGGTGAAAGCTGCAGAGATGGTAGCCCCTGCTGAGGCCACAAAACCTGCCAGCTGTTGAGGAGGTCGGTGCAGGGGGGTTCTGTGGCCTCACCAGGGGCCACCACCCCTGCAGCTTTCACCGCCCTGCATTGTAACACATAGGCATGACACGAGTTTTCTTTCAAGAATTTGGGGTGCAGTTACCCCTGAACCAATCTTCTTGAAACTTGGCAGACTTCATGGTCTCAGCAGAGGATACCATCCCTATGAGTTTCATCTAAATCAGACACAAAACAACAAAGCTATAGATATTTCATTGATTCCCTGGTATATGTTACTTCAGACATCAAAGTGTCCAGAGCTTCTCTGGATCCAAAGCATGGTCCAAAGCCTCACACAGCCCTACTAGATACTGCCATCCTAATGTCATATACTGAAGAGATGTGATGGCAAGATCACACAGGCAGAAATGTGCTGCTCATTGCATATACAAAAAGCCTTTTAATCTTCCCTCCATATGCCATGTAAATCCCACTGACATTAATGGGGGCCATTCAGGCAAACAGAGAATTGAAAAGAGGTAGTGAACAAGTATCTGAATGGAATAAGCAGTAATAATTTACCTACATAGGTACTAGAATTTTTTTTTGTTTGTGGGGGTGTGGGGGTGAGGTGGAGGGGTTGTTAAAGGCTGGCTACTGGTACTTCTGACTTGAGCCTCAGTCAGAATGGACTAGTAGTTTGTATCAACTGCTACATGCTTAGAAGCTGGTGTAAGAGGAGTTGGCAGCCTCATACTAATTCTAAGTGAACAAATGTTCAAACAGTGAATTCTACCTCAGGTTGTACTTACTACCATCCTTCTTGGACACCTTGCTAAGGAGGCCAAGGAACAACACTAATCTACCATTTCAGGGAGGCTGCAGGGGAGGAACTGGAAAACTGGAAGGGTGTGGTGTGTTGTACCTGTTTTGTAGGAAATCCTACAACTTCAGTCTGGAGGGACACTCATTTAGTGCCTTTTACCAGCAATAAATTCACTACAGCACTAACCTGGTCAGGAGTCCATTCTGTTTGTTGACTAAGTGCAGCAACAGTATCAATAGAGTTCAAATCCAACTCTCGTATCTCACTCTCGTTGAGAGCAAGAGCAATGCACCCAAGGGAAATAATATGATAATTCTTCCAATCTGGCAACATGCCCCAAACCTTTAAAATAAAATCATCAACACACAATATCTATTAGTTTATGATGAAGACTCACAGGCATGCCCCATTCTCTGATATAAAAAAAAATAATGACCAAAGATAAGTGTTATGGGCCAGACTCTCTGGTCTGCTTATGCTGCTCTGTCTGGTATAAGCAGAGCTTGGATGTTACCAAAAATCGAGTACTTCCAGTTCTAGGGTGGAGAAGCTGGTTACTATACTGTATTTTGTTATCTTACCTTGTAACTAGGGGTGCACTGATAAAGATAATTTTGGCCAATTATTAACCAACCATATTGGCCAATGCTGATCCAATAACCAATGTTTCGTAATAATGCAAGGTACTCTAAATTACTGACATAACAAACCTTTTTTGCTTGTTTTACTTTTATAACACACACACATGCATATGAAGGAGCACTGCTATTTCTAAGCGTGGGGACATTTATACAGGAGATGCAGTGACACTTTAATTAGAGCGGCTCTCAGAGCCGCTGTAATTAAAATGCTGGCCCCCAATTCCCGGAGCACATGTAAAAGTTCCCGAGCCAGTTGCAGCAGGAGGGGCTAAGCCTAGCAATTCCTGCGACTGGCTGCGTGGAGCGCTTCAGCCCCTGCTCTTCCGCATGATGCCTTTGAACCCCAGGCCAGGGACAGCAAGGCTGAGGGGGGAGATGTGAGCCTTCCTGGCTGCTCAGGGCTGCCTGGTCTCTGGGCCAGGCTCCCCACTCTCCTCACTCTGCCCAGGGCAGGGCCATGAGACCATTCTAGGCCTGAAGAAACTGGGCCACTCCTTCCCCACAACTAGGCCCCAGGTCCTGGGAGCTGGACTTCAGCTGGGGAAGGCTCCTTCTCCTGGTGCTCCCACTGCCGGGGGCAGGGCAAGCCCCCATACCCTGTGGGGGAGACTGAATTGACCCAGCCCTAGAAAGGGCAGGACCTGGCTGCACTGAGGGGCTGGGGGAAGGACTCTGCTGCACACAGCAGAGGGGAGCGGCTGCTTCAGCCCCTGCCAGGCTCTCCCCTAGCCCCTGGGGTGTAGAGCCCTGGGCACTGTGGATGGACTCATGCCGAGCCAGGGCAGGCAGCTCCACCTGCCCCAGTCATGTCTTTGCAGCATTCGGCACCTTTTACAGCACCTGCCCTGGCCCCAGCCCACAGTCTGTGCCACACCACTGTAAGGGACACTGCGGTAACTGCTGTGTTCCAGTCCAGCCCAGCCTGACACACCAGTGAGGGGATGAAGGTGTATCTGGGGTCACCCCAGCTCATGGGAGGGAACTCAGCCATCTGGGAGCCCAACCAGAAGGCATAATTATCAGAAAATATTATCAGCTACAATGGCCAAAAAAAAAGCAGATAGCTGATAATGTCATTTCCCTTTTATCAGTGCTGATCTGATAGGCACCTCTACTTGCAACTTACCTTGTAACACATGATGGTTTCTGTGATCATCTTACTGATGAATTCTGTCTACAGTGCAGTCAGCTGACATATGCTTCCTTCAAACAAAGTAGTTCATGTACTACTTGCAGGGCAGTAACAAAGATTTTGGTTTAGGCTTTGAAATCTACCCTAGAGAGTGGGTAAATACTTGGCACCTAGGCTATATGCTATGCCATGCTACTATGGTACAATGCTACCAGTTTCCAAGATAGTAAGGTTAAAGCTAGCTTGGGTTGGATCTACCCAAGCTGCCGCTACTGCAGAGTAGACATCTTTTGACTGTTTGTTTGAATAATCAGCAATTGTGTCCACCCAAACAATGAAATATGCTCATCTCAAAAAAAAAAAAATCAGACAAGCCTATGTTCTCCACCATGGCCTCTGGAATAGCAGCAACCTCTCATGTCAGTTCCTCCATAATGTGATGTTCAAAGATGAGCCTGGTGCTAATGCTGTGTAGAGAAATACATCTAGAAGCCCAACCATGGTCTGAACAAACACCTCATACCATTCTGACACAGAGAAGTTATTTTTCTTGAAGTTCACCTTTGGTTGAAAAGGTGAAAAAGGGGTACCTATTGAAGATGACTCCAGTTCCAATTTCAGATCTCCTGAAGATGACGCTACACAAACTAAAGAGAAATAAAGTGAAAAAGGACCAAATCACTGGGAACAGGATTTTTGACACCCAGGAGAGCTTGGGACCATGCACAAAAATAGTTGTTTTATTACATCCGTGGAAACTTTTTCTAATATTGAAATGAAACTTGGGGCAGTCTCAGAGCTTTTCTAAATTGCATCGGATGATAGTGGCTTCATGGAGACATTATTACAGTCAAGTACTTGTGGAGCACAGAGGTAAGCCAGGTGTAACCCTTTTCTTCAAACATGTCCCCTATATAAGGCTCTGGGGAGGCAGTTTTGCTTGCTCTGCATCAGTGGTGGGCAACCTTTTTGGCAGGTATGCCACAAAATTAGCTGTACACTCTCCCCAAGTGCAACTCTGATCCCCTTTGGAGCAGCCTAATCTGCTGCTCTGCTTTCTGCTCCCTGTCCTGTGCCCCCTACCTGATCTGCTGCTCTACATTCTCCTCCCAACCCTGTGCTCTCTGCCTGCTCTGCTGCTCTGCTTTTCACTTCCTTCCCTATGCTCCCTGCTCAATTTGCTGCTTTCTGCTTCCTTTTCCCTTCTTGATCTGTTGTGTGCCACATAAGGAGGCTTTCTGTTTCACTTGTGGCGTCTGTGCCACAGGTTGGCTAGCCCTGCTCTACATTAAACACTGATCTTCCTTAGCCTGAGAGCATCTATCTGACCAGTAATGCCTGCATAAAGCAACTATAATGTACAGAGTATCGAACCCAAGACCTTTTAATCTTCTACAAAGATGATTAAACATGGTAATATGTATAAACCCAGTATTAAAGATCTTGATTTGCTAGATAAAGAAGTACATGAACCACACATAATTAGATTTTTTTTGCATTTGTTTAAAACTGTTTGTATCTGATGCAGCTGTGAAATAAAGAGAGTTCTGAACTGGTTTATAATTAATGTTCTCGGGCAGTATGGATTCAACAGTGCAGGAGAGGATACATGAAACATTAGCCATGCAGATCTGAACATAAGGTAGAATGAAAACTGAAATGGATCTTACCCCATTCAACAAGAGACAAAAAACTCATCTATACATATATCAAAGCACAGAGATTTGGAGATTTCCCAATTATAAGTGGGTTAAGCTTAGTTTCATTAGCCCACAATCAGTTAACTGTGAATTCCTTGCATTATTTTGGAAACAGAATTACAAACTCTTTCTGAGAATTCATTTAGGGGAAATAAAGCCAGTTTCTTCAAGCCTTTCATCAAAGGTGCCCTGTGATTAACAATATACTGTACAGCATCTCATGTATATGATTTCAATCAACTCTAGCAGCCTGGCTTATACTTGTTCATTCCTCATATTTTGTATTCAGTACAACCCTGTAGTATTTCTGACAAATTAGTATACAGAAAGTTCATTGCTTCCTGCCAAACTGCAGTCTTTCTTACGAATGCCTGCGCTGACTGAAAGATTTTTATTCGGTGCATTACAGGCCTACATACTTTTATCTGAATACAGCTAGGGAATAGGAATATTAATTTTATTGGCAATTTCTCTACCACTCTGCAAGGAAGCCATTCAACTACACTGTGGTAACATCTTTTTAAATTTCCAAGCTACTCAGATAAATAATGCTCTTTTTTTTCTGAGACATGTTTACTCTTCTTCCTGGTCATGTATCTTCATTTTGGAAGAGGCAGTATCTCCAGAAGGTATTTTTATTACACAACATGTTGACCCACTATGCCAAATTAGCAGACATGGAATTTTCCATTGTAGGAGGCACCATAAAATTTGGAAATCTGAGTTGAACCATTTCCCACCCCCTAACTGATCATCAGTTTGAAAAGCTAGGCTTGACTGATGCTGCTTTAACTTACACTTTTTGGCCTTATCTTTGTCTTGACTGATGTGAAGTTAGGTCTTTTATAGTGAGATACCAACCAGCAGCAGTTCTCCTGCTGTGCAATCCTAAGTGGAAACAAAGCACTTTTAGTGTCCACCGTGAGGGAGATAGACAAGTGCCATACTTCCAATCTGTCCGTAACTGACGTGGTGGAAAAATTAAGCTGTTTCATCACTACTCTGCTTTTACAGTTATCCCAGGGTAAAAAACCTGCCTTTTTATATCAGTGAAGATTCAGCCTACAGGTGCCTATACACAAGCAGTGAGGCTACTCTGATGCACTGTCTGCTGGAGAGTGGTAATTACTGCACTCCAGAAGCTTCCAGTGTCTTGTGCATCAGTGAACCTGCACTTAAAAAGGGCAGTGGGGGTGCTTTATCTAAAGCTTGTTTGATGAGCTTTAGTTAAAGTGCCCCACTGCCATTTTTAAGTGTGGGGACGTCAATACCTGAGATGCTCCAGGCATTTTAATTAGAGCAGCTCTCAGAGCCGCTGTAATTAAAGCATCCCCCCACCACTCCCAGAGTACATGTATAAACACTCTAAGTGTTTGGGCTCTTTTCCACCTAAAATTTCCCTCACTTGCTGTTGTCATTGCAGTTCCAAAAGAGATAGTGATGGTGAGAATACTAGCCTTGTCCTGAATAGGAAAAGACTTTTCAATCAGGTTAGTTTAACATGTTGTTGAAAACACCAAGATATACCAACACCCTGAGCTTGCTTCTCAGCAGGCCGAGTAATAGCCTTTGATGTGGCTCATGATTTTTCAGTTTTGAAAGAACAGGAATAAGGTAGCTAAAAAAGGGATTCAAAAGCGAAGCATTTAACTCATTCAGCTACCAGCAGCTCAGTCCAATTTAGCCTGTTGACTCTAAACTAATACAAATTTTCCGTTAACATATCTGATAACATTTGAGATTATTTCTCAGAAAAACTGTAGGTATTACTGAAGCAACAATAATGCTAAAGCAACAGTTACTTTAGAAATGTACACTTCAGCAATAAAATATGGATGTATTTTTCTTTGGAGTTGTAATAGCTACCTGCTTAGCTTTCTCCTTCAAAGCAATAAGCTGGGATTTGTTGAAAACTGACACAGTCCCAAGGAGTTCCACATTTTTGATAAAAGTGTCTGTGCCCATGCACTGCAGTTCCTGAACTGACCAAAAGGCATTTGCTTCTCCTAACTTAATAATCTCATCTGAAGAGGGAGCTCTGATTCCTACGCAACCTGGAAAGAAAACAAAACACAGTTTGAAGAGCTTTCTTCAAGGGAACTGATTTAAGAATTCTGATGCAAAAATCAAAGCAATGAAGCCTTATGCTATCTTGTTATGATGGTAACATATCATGATATAACTCTGGCCAGGACTATTTTGATAAGTTAAGCATCCAATATTCTTACAATGAAATAAAAAAAAAATATATTTTAAAGAAACATATGCAAGTGATATTCTTTGTCTAAAACTAGCATTTACCTAATTAGTTATGTGCCTTGTTCCTTGAAGACAATGTGTATTGGAAAGGAAAGGAGGAGCAGATTAACCAGTGACTACATAAAAAAAAATCTTACTAAAACAAAACTTGCTTGCAGCATCTAGAATATCAGCTTAAGAGTTTTCAGATGCGTCATTCTAAATTCCTCAGGGCCAGATTTGGAGGTGAAACCTTCTGCTGACTTCAGTGGAATAAAAAGTCAAATTAAGCTCCTTAATCTGACCACGGAAGTTTCCATGTACCTGTATTGTATAATTTATTTACATGAAAATACTGCAGCTGAATAAACTGAACCTGCTTATTCTTGTTCAAACAAGACTTATTAAATCCAGCTCACCAGCTAGCCTAACAGCAGGTATGACTGATCTTTCCTTTTTGAAAGACACTGACAGACATGCATGTCTGGAAAGATGTCGGATATTTAAACAAGGCGCTGCCTAGATAATTTAAGCATGCCGGAAAATTCCCCTGGCTCATTTTTTGCCAAGCACAAAATGCCAGGAATTAGAAAACCTGAGAAAGATGCTTATTTACAGCAGAACTACCAAGCAGCTAAACTATATGATCAAAAATCTGATACAAGCACAGATTCTGGGTCTCCAAGAACATTGTTGTCACTGTGTGTTTTGACAAATCTGCTTCTTTTTAGGCTTTTTCTGTCTCTGATGTATAGGAGAGCCTAGCATCCTAACATGATCTCTTCCTAGCCCCTTTCCTGCTTCTAGTTTAGGAAACTTGTTCAGCAATTATCGAAAACAAACAATATCTGAATGTTTTCAGATTTGGCCATCACCAGGGAAAAACAAAACTCCATAGATGCTGCCTCTGAGCTGAGTTTCCCTACCTCAACAGATTAAAGCAAGGATGTATAAAATAGATTTCTCTTTTGAAAGGAGGCAGCGGAAGGATTTACTGGAAATCAAAGAAAGCTGGAGCAGTCGGCAGAACACTGAAAAGACCAAATCTGTTGAGCAAATGAAAAAACTGTTTAGCTTCTACTGTACCAGCTGACTTCCCTACTTGCTTTTTAAACAGGTCTCCTATAAAGCAGGACTGTTTCACTTTCCTCCCCTGCAAAAGGTCAACTTTTTTTATGTAAATGCTGCCAATGCAGACACAATGGAGTTCCGTGTCCAAGACACAAAACCTAGTATTTTTTATCCTTGGAAAAACCTTTGATTTCATTACTTGGAACGCACCAGATCTGCTGGCAAGAAATGCTCATTACAACTCTGATTGTGTGTCCTGTATCTGATGCTGTTTCATACTTATTGTTGATGTAATCAAATCTACTTTAACCTAGTGTGAATGGGAAAGATTTGTTTAAATGTTTCCTTTTTAACATATATGATAGCATCTCAGGACTGCTTTCTATTTCTAGCACTGCTGCTGCTTTGCTGTTGGCCTTGGGTAAATCACTTACTACGTGTGCCTTAGATTTCCCATCTATAAAAAATGGGCTTCAAACAACACACACTTCCAGGGTTTTTATTTTTTAATAATCTGGAAATAGAGATGTAAACTCAGCTCTTAGTGCTATATGATACTGTTGCTGCCAAATTATGAAGATTAATATTAGATCAGCTGTGATTCTAAAAGCATTTCCTGTTTTGGGGAGGTTTTAGAAATAAAAAAAAAAGTCCTGGATTTTTCCACTCTCAGCTTCCTCACTGGTCAAACTAATTCATACTGGGGAAAACAGTTATGTGCTCCATACCACTCCACAGCTCTTAGTGGAGAGAGCAGCTGAATTGTGGGGGGGGGTCAGTATTGGTTACCTACTGCAGACAGGGG